ACCATGACTGAAAACAACTTTGGGAGGAAAGTGTTTATCTCACAGCTCCATATAACAGTTCACTAAAAGTAGTGAGGACAGGAACCTGGATGCAGGAACTGATGCAGTGGCTATGAAGAGGTTCTGCTTACTGACTTGCTTCCCATGATGTGCTGGTATGTTCAACCTTGCCTTTTGTTTTGTTTTTTCAAGAGTTTCTCTGTATATCCCTGCCTATCCTGGAATTCACTCTGGAGACCAGGCTGACCTCAATCTGCCTCTGCCTACCGAGTGCTGGGATTAAAGGTGTGCATCACCACCTCCTGACTCAGCCTACTTCTAGAAGCCAGGACCAATAGTCCAGGAGTGGACCACATCAGTCACTAAGAAAATGCCCAAGCTGGGCAGGGTGCATACCTTTAATTGAGATTCTTTCCTCTTTGATTATCTTGTGTCAAGTTGCCATAAAAGTAACCAGTACAGAAGATCCACTTCTAATCTAGATCTTTGAGATGAGAAGATACAACTTTAATCCAGATCTTTTGAGGTGGGAAAAGCCAGTTTTTAAACTGGACCACACAGCTGGGCAGTGGTGGCACAAGCCTTTGATCCCAGCACTTGGGAGGCAGGGACAGGTGGATTTCAATGAGTTTGAGGCCAGCCTAGTCAACAAAGTGAGTTCCAAGACTATTACACAGAGAAACCCTGTCTCGAAAAAAAACTAGGCCACACCTGCTGGCAGCCAATAAGAAGGACATAGAAGAAGGACGCTTTTGCTCTTTGCCTGCTTGCTCTTGTCGGCAAGTCCATGCCTCCATTGGCATTAGAGCTTCTTGAGGCTATACTGAAGGTGCAACCAGTCCCTTGCTTCAAGTGTGGTATACTAAAGAACAGCTGAGACACCTGGCTTCATGGACTGAGCAACTATTGGATTCTTGGGCTTTCCTTTCATAGCTAGTCATTGTTGGACCAGCTGAACCACAGCCTGTAAATACACAAACATAAATGGCATCTATAAAAGTCTCATGTAAACATACTAGCATATGCCATTTGTACTCCCTCCAAACCCCTGAGCAAGTACAGACTGCACTGCTCACAGAAATGGTTCACAGTCTACTCCCATTAACAATATTTCATGAATTTAGTGAAAATATATTTACAAAGTGATATTTTACTACATCTGTGTCTAACATGTATTGGGCACTTGAAAACATCTAGATAATGTCCACTGTAGATATAGCAGGCTTTAATAAGCTTGCACACATGTAACAGTAGTAGTCTTGGGACTACGAGCATTCTGTTCCAGAACCCTTCTATTCTCTATCAACCAGGGGACTACAATGCTCATAAGTAGCTATTTTAACACAAAATATATTAGTCTACTATTTTATTGTTGTTGTACACTGACAAGCTCTTTCACATCTAGAGAGACAAGATTTTGTAAATGAGAACTTTGTCCTTTATATGCTTTCTATATGCAACAAAGTAAGTAAGAAAAAAAAATGGGAGAGGGGTGTTACTGGGGTAAAAGGCAAAATCATGTCAATCTTTGAGGGAACATCCTTTCCCAGTAAGGGAAGAGGACAGAGGATGTGAGGAGAAAGGAACAGGCGAAGGAAAAACCATTTAACAAGTCTGGAGGACTATGTATTCCAATTATGGGTGAGGGAGAGAGGCGAATGGGACCCCAGAACTCTCAGGACTGAGAAAGTGGCTCCAGTCTCTAGAGGAACATGATGAGCTGACCTAACACAGACGTGAGACCCAAGGCTCCTGGAGAGTAATTGGTCTATGGCAGCTGTCCAAGGGAGTCCACCATAACCAATGAAGGTTGTGATGGGGTGCAGCCTCCCCATTCCCATTTGACAGAGCCAGAATGCTGGACAGGCAACAGCTGTCACTTGGTGATGTGGGGACTGTTTAGGAAGTGAGGTGGGGGAGTCAACAATCAGCTCATGTTGGAAGAGGAGATTGGGAGTCAGGAGGACTGGAAAGGGCTGGGGAACATTACTGGCCAATCTGAGTCATGAAGCCAAAGTTGGTTAATTTTGACTGAGTGTTTTAATTAAGGTAATCAAAATAATGAATTTTGATTGCTAGATCTTGATGTTTTGATAACTGGATGTCAGTGAGCAGTCTCAGGAGTGAGTTAGGCATAGCAAAGTGGCCAGATAAGGGAATTGACCTTGGTGGCTACCTTTAGGAATCTAACAGTTTAGCAGAGGAGAAGAAAGGGGAAAGGGCAGGGACGAGGAAAGGGGGAAGAGACATGTTTGCCATGCTCAGGCCTGCTAGAGCCCTTCAAGACACTGGAATGTTGCTGGCCCAGAGGCTAATTAGCCCTGGGACAGCCATTCTTTCCCACCTCTGTGTCATAACTAATATCCTGTGACTAAAAGATTGAAAACCTGATAGAATCTATTAACTTAGCAGACCAATAGCTTCTACCAACCCAAGAGCTAAAAAAATGGCATTAAAAAAGATCTTGGGTCCATAGAAAGTCTTCCCCTCACTGGGCGGTGGTGATACACGCCTTTAATCCCAGCACTCGGGACGCAGAGGCAGGCGGATCTCTGTGAGTTCGAGGCCAGGCTGGACCGACAGCCTCCAAAACAATACAGAGAAACCTTGTCTCGTAAAACCAAAAAAAAAAAAAAAAAAAAAAAAAGATGTTTTGCCATGTGTTGGTGGCGCACGCCTTTAATCCCAGCACTCAGGAGGCAGAGGCAGGAGGATCTCTGTGAGTTCGAGACCAGCCTGGACTACCAAGCGAGTTCCAGGACAGCCTCCAAAGCCACAGAGAAACCCTGTCTCGAAAAAAAAAAAAACGAATAAACTATTGCCATTTCCCAGGAAGAAGATAGCAGGAACACCCATGTCCCACAAAGGATAGTTTTAAGCCCATTTAAGAGCAGTGTTCTCTACATTAAGCAGTTAAGTTCAGAGCCTGTGTTGTGTTTTGCAAAAGCTGCTCATTTCTAGCTGGGGGTGGGGGAAAGGAGGATATAGGGGCTGGGGACATGGCTTAGGCAGAAAAGTGCTTGACACACAAGCATTAGGACCTGAGTTGGTTCCCCAGCATCCACGTTAAAAAGCCAGGCATGGTGGCCTGCCCTTGTAATCCTGGCTCTGAGGAGGCTGAGACAACAGATCCTTAGGGCTCTCTGTCTAGCCAGTGTAGCCTAATAGTTGAGTCCCAGGTACCAGTGAGAGACTCTCACAAGAAGGTAGATGGCTCCTGGAAAATACCGTCTGAGGTTGACTTCTATCTCTGCACCCATATGGGTGTGCATTTACATGTACAGCAACCCTACACACACACACACACACACACACACACACACACACACACACACACACACACACGGGGAGGGGGTGTTGGGGGAGCACAGGAGGTATGGTTTCATGAGCCACATGTGTTTGACCTGAAAAACCTCAATATACCCCCCTTTTTTTGAGACTCAGAAGGTCGCCTCAGTGGAAAATTCCCCAAGGTCCCCTAGGCAGGGAACAAGGTCAGATTAAAAAGAACATCTTGAGCCGGGCGTTGGTGGCGCACGCCTTTAATCCCAGCACTCGGGAGGCAGAGGCAGGTGGATCTCTGTGAGTTCGAGGTTAGCCTGGTCTACAAAGCAAGTTCCAGGACAGCCTCCAAAACAATACAGAGAAACCCTGTCTCGAAAAACCAATGGCAAGTATTGTGAGGACTTTCCTACAAACAAATGTCTGTATTCCAGATGGAGCATTAACAGATACCCGAGTCTAATTTAGGTGAATTACTGAGTTTATTATGTGTAGGAATCTGAACAAGGAGTTACTTTTTCTTTCTTTTTTTTTTTAACTTTTAGTTTTTCAAGATAGGGTTTCTCTGTGTAGCTTTAGAACCTATCCTGGCACTCACTCTGTAGCCCAGGCTGGTCTCGAACTCACAGAGATCCACCTGCCTCTGCCTCCCCTGAGTGCTGGGATTAAAGGCATGCGTCACCACCAGCCAGTGCAAGGAGTTACTTATAGGAGCATGGATGATACAAAGGCAGCTTCACCACTGGAAAGCTCAGCCCTGCATGGGCCGTGACTCACAAAAGATTCACTCTGCGGCCCTGGGCACTTGCAGTCTTCTCCCCAGAAATTGCTGCTTACCTTGGGGTGGGCCTCAGTGATCATTTGACTTCCAGGCGCATCCTGATCTCGTAAGCTGTCTTCCCTCCTGGACCTTGTGTTTCCCTTATTGCCTGAGTCTCAGGAACCTACTTTCTCTTTTTAGAAAGGAAGCAATGTTTCATTGCATAGGAAACAGCTACACAGCAGGTTTACTGAAGACAGCACTGCTGTGATATAAAGTGATAAAGGCACATTGTTTCTAATTTCCAAATAAGGAGACTTCAACGACTGCCTGCACAAGTGTGTGGCATGTTCTGGATGCGTGCATACCCATATTCTATTTCTGCTGAAACAGCTCTCTCTGCATTTGGACAACAGGACTTTTGGCCCCCAAACACAGGTGGCAGTTAGACATTTACTTTCCCAGAAGCCCTGGGGTAAGAACTTTCTTATTATTTTGTATAAATCCACCTGTCTGCTTATAGAAAGTCTCCACTTTGAGGATATGAACATGAGCTAAAACATCTCGAGACCTTGGGATGTTAGTCTTTTTTCCCAATAACCCTTTGACACTTGCATCCAGCACCTGGACTGGGCCTAACTGAAATGAAAACCTGTGTAAGTGAAAACAGTGCAACACAAAACTCACTGTACACATGTATAAAATTGTCCGAGAATTAAAAAAAAAAGTGGACTCAAGGTATCAGCTACTGAGTCTGAGAAGGTCAATGACCACAGGTCAAAATTCATGACTTTCTGGAACACAGAGACTTCTGGAACACAGAAACAATGCAGCATTGTTTCTAATGCAACAGTAGTATGGAGCTAGGTATATGAAGCACATGTACCCCAGAAACCCAGAGTACAGCAAAGCTCCCAACGCCCCCCACCCCAGTCATCACATGCATTAGAATCTGGTGTGCACCAGCAAGGAGCTTTTATTGGTCACCACATTGACATGACAGGGTTCACTGGTTCCTGTAGAGTGTAACAGGGCCAGCTTTCAGCTACAGGAGCATAGGTCCCGGCCCCACTTCCTAGGCAGAAGGGAGGGAATACTCTAAATGAGTTACAGGAACATCCATTAACCTCCAGAGCACACTTAGGAAGTACTGGCCTGTCTGCCGGAAACCCATACTCAGGTAGAGTGTCCTAGCGCCTTGCTGCAAGATGCTGGTCTCGAGGACAACATCACTGTAGCCCTGGTCCCGTGCAAACTGGAGGACAATTCTGACCAGTGCTTTCGCTATGCCCTGTCCTCGATGCTGTGAAGACACAGACAGGTGAAAGAGCTCCAGCTGCTTCCTCCCTAGTGGGGGATCCTTGACTGGCAGACCCCCCACTGTGCCCACCACCTGGTTCCCAGACTCAGCCACCCAGAAATCTGCGCCACACACACTCAGGTAGGTCTTGGTGATGTCAGCCATGTCTGTGTGCAAACACTTGGCCACATACTCCTTCCAGGGCTGTCTGACAAGGAGCCGCAGGAGGAGGAGCAGAAAGAAGATGCACATAATCGCTAGCAGCCAGGAGCCAGACACCAGGACCAGGGCAAGTGGCACCCCAAGTAAGAGCAGGAGGGTTCGGGGCAGCGTCAGCACGTGGCGGAAGGTGGTGGGGATGTGCTCCTCCATGCCCCTTGTGAACAAGTCCAGGACACTTTCGCGGTCGCTGTCCTGGTACTGGCGGATGTGGTAAGAAGCCATGGGAGACTTCTGGGTCTCAAATCTCGGCATCCAGGAGACACAGCTCTACCTGCCTGCACACCTTCCCTGAGGCCTGCAGAAGAGAGAAGCCATGTGAGTCCCCTGACCTTCCCTCTCCCAACGCCCATGGAGGCCCTGTTCGAGGGTGTGTCTTTCTGCTGACACTGGGAAGAGATATTGTGTCAGCAGCACCTGATTACTCCCCTGCCTCCTCCCCTTTGTAGCCCCTAGCCATGGGGCACTGGGTATGTCCCTTCTCTCTGAGCAGGTGTCTCCACCTGCAGAGCAGGAAGAAAGAAGATCCCATTTTAGCTCTGTGACTTGTAGGCAGCACACATATGAACGGCTCCTTCTCTGTTGTTACCCAGTTACAGGCTCTTTGGTATTCAGCACTGAGATGGCACGTTTGTGCAGGAAGATGTGATGTCCTGAGAACTGTGTTTCCTATTCAGGCTCCCTACGTCACAGTGCTGCATTCCCGAGCTCAAGTTCCAGCAAAGCCTCTTCTTCACCCTATTTGAGAGACTTGATCCAGTAAAAGGCAAAGGGTTAAGACCCAAACACCCCACCTTTAAATATTGTCATATTGCTCTCTTTCCTCTGACCTGGTACCACAGAGTCTGGAGTGTCTGGAATGGTTCCCATCTCTGAGTAGCATTGAGTAGACTTTGCCATCTGCCCTCTCCCTGGACAGCAGACCGGGGAAGGCTCCAGAATAATTGCAAACCAAAGGTCAAGAACTGGAATGTGGCAGTGGAGGTGGCACACATCCATTTTCCTTGTGACCCCACGGAATACACCCAGCCGAGCAAGCTCTGGCGTGACACACTGGGCCCATGCTTGTGAAGCATGCCTTCTGCTCCCTGTTCCTTCACTTCTCAGTGTTTGTCTCCAATTCCCAGCCTGGCTGCCCGAATGCATCTGCTAAAGACAGTGGTTCTCAACCTGTGGGTAGGGACCCCAGGGGCATTATTGAATGACCCTTTCACAGGGGTCTCCTAACACCATCAGACATATCAGGTATTTACATTGTGATTTGTAACAGTATCAAAATTACAGTTATGAAGTAGCAATGAAAATAATTTTATGGTTTGGGGTCACCACAACATGAGGAACTGTATTAAAGGGTTATAGCACTAGGAAAGTTGACAACCACTGAGCTAGGAGCAACCTGGGGTCTGGTCACTTGCTGTGCGCTCATACTTCCTGGCTCAGTAGGGCCTTCATAACAGGGCTCATTCCTGCCTCAGCTGTACCTACTTCTACTAAGATGGAGCTGTAGTGCACACCGATGTCTCCACTCCTTATCCATCACGTGGAGGACAGAACTGTTGCACCTTGTGAACCCTTTTCAGTCCCAGCAGATCCATTTTCCAAATGACAGTCCCCAAGCAGGGCGGCTGCTAGAGCTCTGAGCCATGCTCACATCCAAGGATCTTCTCAAACCAGCTAGCAGCAATACCACCTCACTATACAGGCAAGAGTGGCTCAACCTGCTCCCTTCCCCACATCAACATGAGGGTTTTTAAACAAAGTATGAGAATATTTGTGTCAGGAAGAAGAGAAAGGGAATATTTTATGTATTATTATTATTTTTATTATTGGTTTTTTGATACAGGGTTTCTCTGTGGCTTTGGAGGCTGTCCTAGAACTAGCTCTTGTAAACCAGGCTGGTCTCAAACTCACAGAGATCCACCTGCCTCTGCCTCCTGAGTGCTGAGATTAAAGGTGTGCACCACCACCGCCCGGCTTTGTATTATTTATTTTTTAAGACAGTGTCTCTCTACATAGCTACATAGCTGTTGTGGAACTCACTACATAGACCAGGCTGGCCTCAAACTCACAGAGGTCCACCTGCCTCTGTCTCCCCAGTGCTGAGATTAAAGGCATGTGCCACCATGCCAAATGAAAGGGAATATTTTAGATAATGAAGGATTTTTGGATGGTAAAATAGGATTTTGTTCTGAGTAAAATGACTGGGTTTTTCCAAAATGAAAAAGAAAGAAAAAATAGAAGGGTAAAACCCGGAAGCTGAATGAGTGGCGAAGGGTCACAGTGAGACACACCGGGTCTCGGGCGCTGCGGTCCTGGGCTGTTCTCGGGATTCCTTAGGTCAAAACTAAGTGCATCCACACAACCTGAAAGCCAGTGCTGTTTAAAACAGTGAGTTCTTGTAAGACATTAACCTGCTCTCAGCATTTGCAAAAGTGCCTTTAAAAAGCAAATAATAATTAATTGATTTATCGACTGTTTTCTTTAGGTAAGGATAATTCAACATGCCCCATTCTGAGTAATGTTTCCTAATGATTGAGGCATTTGATATTGGGATTTAAATGCATTAGATAAATAGATTTAAAAGCATCTATAGACAAAAGTTTAATTTTCATTACTATTACAGTGCGTGTACCATGGCTTAATTGGAGGTTAGAGAGCAAGCCTGTGGAGTTGGTTCTCTCCTTCCACCTTAGGTGGATTCAGGAGATTTAAGTCAGGTTTCAGGCTTGCTGGGCTATCTCCTGGACCAGATACTTAATTTTTAAGTTAGTTTTCGTTGAATATTTGCTCACTAGTCTGTTTTGTGTTCTCCTTTAAGAATTATATGGCTATCGTCTGCAGACATTCTGTAGAAGTATAGACTCTAATGGGGAACTCCTTTGGCATTTTTGGAGATTCTAGACCATCACAAACAAAATGTAAAAAATAGACTTGAGGTAGGCCTAAGAGCCATTCCTTCTATATTTTTTAGCTGTTTAAAACTAGACATAAAGGGTTTTATTGGCATTGATTCCTTCACATCTGTCACTTGTTTCCACCCTCAACATATAATCAGGTCAACCCAACTGGGACAGATCTCATCCCAGGGATGAGAGATAAGATCAAACCACTATGGTCAGAGAACATTCTTCAGAAATGTGGAAAGGTGTCAGATTCAGAATCATGTCACACTGGGCATCGTGTTGCTGCCTTGCAACCCCAGCACTTGAATAAGAAGGCTTACAGATGGAGGACAGTGTCCTCATGGGATCCGGACACAAAACCAACAGTAAGAATGGAGTCACTCGTGACAGGTTTTCCAAAAGTAAAGCCAAGAAGTTACAGAGAAATGGCCCTTATGCATGGTTACCTGAGACTGTTTTCCAACTCTGTTCATACTTTTATTATTTATGTTTGTTTTAGACAAAGGCATGTTTCAGAAATTCTCACTCCAAGTTATAGCTGCTCATGCTACATAGGGTGTGCTCTGAAGTACATCTTTACATGCTAGAGAATTCTCTTGCAAGTAAGAAGACATTCTGACAATCAACCACATGCATGGTGTCAAAATGTCATCTTTCATATAATACAGATCTCAGAGTTACTACTAGTAATGAAGAATGACTGTGGACAGATGGGGACACTTTCATATTCTGTATTAGGAAGACACACTTGGACTCCATACTGTAGAAAGGAACCAAAATGGACATATTATTAGCTTAGCATGGGCACAATCTCATTTGTTTTTAACTTCCCAGCCCAGCCACCTCTGAAGGAGTATAAGGTTAAGATCAGTAGACTCCGAGTTTCAAAAAGTACCTGAGTCCAAAGATCTGCAGATGAGGAACAAGTGCAAAGGGTAACGAAGCAAACACGGATAACACCTCTCAGAAACGTAGCTAACCACCCGACCGGGAGGCAAAATGCAGCTCCAGGAAAGCTGGCTGTCTTTGCCGCCAGCCCTATCTCCTCGTTATATAATCTGCAGGCTGGAGATAAGATGGAATGCATGCCTCCAAGATAATTAATCTGCTTTCTTCTTGGACTGTTGGCTCTCTGGATAAACCGTGATTTTAAGATTCAATACCTTTCTCTATTTATTGGATTCTCTGGCAGGTAGCACGAACCAAAATCTGGTTTCACCTTGGTGGCCATCTTTCCCCAAGAGCAGTGCCCTGGTCTTGCACAACTGCCTGAGGCAGATAGCTAGCTTTATGGGAGCTTAACCCCAGCATCCTTTCAGAGAAACCTCAGTATCCTCCTGTGTGCTCAGAAGATTTGCCTCTTTCCTCTGCCACAGCTGTCCCTTTGTCATTGGACCTCCAAGCACGGGAGGAGCTCCTTCAATGTAAGACTCCACCACACTGCACCCCCTGGTTCCTCCCGACAGCACATCCAGTAAAGTGAGTCTCAAAGCTCAGAAAAACTGTGACTCTCATCCTGGTGAATATTTTCCTTTTCCCAGGGAGAACTTGAGGCGGTTAAACACAGGCTAAGAACAAAGCCGACACTCAACACCATACCTCAACTTCTAGGCCCGACCCGTGGGTTCTTTGCACTCCCGACCCTGGGACCAACTCTCCACAGCGTCCGTCCGCAAGCAGCTGCAAGTGGGAATAGGAGTGCGCGCAAAGTTCAGACTTAGACTGGGCCACGCCCACCAGGGCCCGGAACTACCGGCGCTTCCGAAGTGCACAGCGTTGTTTCCGAGGGGACGGTCTTCTGAGACAGACTGGAGACTGTTGGTGAGCTCCACTCGGGGCGAACGCAAGCGCGGTCACAGTTTTGTGGGCGATGCGTGCATTCCCATCGCCAGTGTTTGTCGTGAGCCCTCCCAGGCTGCGGGTGGAAAGCACTGCAGCCTCGGAAGGGCAGCTCGGGCCGGAAGGCCGCTCGGCTGCGCGCTCCGGGGCGCCCCCTGCAGGCGGTGCCCGAGGCTGATGCTCGAGAAGCCCAGTCACTGCAATGCCCAGCGCCGGGAGGGAGGCGAGTCCGAGAGTTGCCCCGGATCCTCCCGGGGCCAGCTGCCCGGGCGGAAGGGCCGAGACAAGAAGCCCGATAACAGGGACGCCCCCTTGGGAAGCGCGACCACTGTAAGCTCCTCCGAGGGCAGGCCATCGGGGCGGGAGAGGAGTCAGGTAGGGTCCAGATGCTACATGCAGGACCCGGTGACATCAAGTTAGGGCTTTAGCTTCAGCTCTGACGTCCTCCTCAAGGACACTGTGACCATCTGGTGAGCAGGGCCTCCATGAGGACGCTCTTGGGATGCTGTTGATGAGAGGCGAGTCAGAATTAAGATTTGGAGGTAGAAATCGGGACTTGGACACTGATGTGGTTGTAACAGTGAGAGGTATCTGCCCTGGACCACGTCCTGTTGCTAATACCACAACACCTCGTGGGGTGAAGTCATTTGTTTTGTTTTTCAAGACAGGCTTTCTCTGTGTAGTCCTGGCTGTCTTGGAACTCACTGGAACGCACTGGCCTGGAACTTAGAGAGCCGCCTGCCTTCCTGTCAGGGAGTAGGTTAGAAGGGTGGGAAAACTTGGATTCATAACAGAATCGCTCTGAAGATATAAACCATTATTTTGATAATCCTATTACTGGATTAAAGATTATTTGAGTGCAAAGTCCTAGTTGCTCTGGAGATAAACTTTATAATGTGGATTAATGATTTTTTTTTAGTACGAAGTCCTAAACACCTTCTGAAGGTGTCTAAACACCTTCTGAATGTGTTTAAACACCTGTCCCCGCTTTTTAATCTCTCACATTTGGGAACTAGATTTCAACATTAATTTTATAGGCGTCAAAACCAGATCGATATTAAGTAATGATTCCAAAGTTTCTAGCCTAAATAACTCTTACACTAAACAAGATCAGACTATTCTGAGGCTAAGAGTTCTTTTTCCTTACTGTTAAAAATCAGACCAGGGGTTTGATTCCCAGTGTCCACACTGCATTTCACAAAAATCTGTAACTCCAGGTGCATTGAATTCTGTGCCTTCTGACTGCACACAGGTACCAGGCAAGAATGTAGTACACAGACATACATGCAGGCACTTATGTAAAAATATTTTTTAAACAGATACTTAAAAAAACAGGGAACGTCATTTTCTTCCAAGTTGTAAGTGCTTATGTTTTGTTTGATGACTGTAGAAAGTTCAGAACACGTACAACAAGATATTTTAAGATTACAATAAAAATCACCTAATAATCTCAGTGCTCAAGATGTCTGCGTTTTGTTGTTTCCTACATTTTTTTCTGTTCATGTTTCTACATGACAGCATACTGACCGTAATGTCCTTTCTCAATTAGTTGCTAGCATGAAAAAGACTGTATCAGGACATTATCTACAAAAGTTTTCTTTTCCTGTAACAGAAACCCTCAGACATAATTCTAGAAAGTCAGAGGTACTATTATGTTTAAATTTTGTGTGTTTTTAAATTTTTAATATTTATTATTTTATGTGTGTGGATGTTTTGCCTGTATATGTGTATGTGCATCTCACGTGAGTCTGGTATCAGTGGAGGTCAGAAGAGGGCATTGGATCCTCTGGGACTGGAGTTACAGATGGTCGTGAACCACCATGTGAGTGCTGGGACTCAAGTCCTGGTCCTCTGCAAGAGCAGCCAGTGCTCTTAATGACTGAACCAACTCTCTAGCCCTGTGGTTGTTGTTTTGTTTTCTGAGGCAGGAGCTCATGGAACTCATGCTAGCCTGGAGCTGGAGCTGTGTAGTTGAGGATGACTTTGATATTTTTCCAGATGAAAATGTAACTTTATACACATTGAATAGGATAAAATAGGATGGGCATAAACGAAGAATGTACTCAGGAGAGAGTCAATGCCATTTTGTTTGCAGGGAAGGAGTCAGAAACTGGAACAAACTAGGATATTGAGGAAGACTGCCCCCAAAGTAACTAGGGAACATAATATTAGGATTCGGGTGCCAAAGTTAATCTACACATGTAATAAAGAGTCCAAAATTCTGTTTAGTGTAAGCAGTTTTGCATTAAGTATGTAGCAGCTGTTTGCTTTTCAGAAAGTGATAGGCAACTTTTAGAAGTGGTTTCCATTATGCAAGTACTAGGAATTCTCAACTACAATTAGCTAGCTATGCTGTCCTCAGTACCATTAGGCTGCTTCAGGCACATGTACCTATCGATGTAATACAAAACTAAATTCCAGGCTTTGTTGTTCTGGTTGTGGGCCTAGCCTTTGCTGGCTGAGCCATCTCTCCAGCCAGCATTTTGGGTTTTTAAATGGCAGCAGTAATTATATTGTGGGTTTTATTCTAGATGCTCACTATAGTTTTGTTTTTGAGACAGGGTTTCACTGTGTAGCTCTGCCTGTCCTGGAACTCACTGTAGACCAGGTTGGCCTCAAACCCACAGAGATCCACTTGCCTCTGCCTCCTGAGTGCTGGAATTAAAGGCATGTGCCAACATGCCTGGCTGATGTTCACCATCATTAAGAGAACAGTCGACACACATAAGTGAAGATAGTTGAATTTTAATGATAATCATGGTAATTCTTGAAATAATGTTTATACAGAATAAACTAGTATTGATTAATTGGCATTTTACACACATCAACCAAGAAAACAAAAACAAAACCACAACTATAAAAGGCAGTCTTCCCTATGTAGACTATGGTAATGTATTAAAAATGAATGTCAAGTAATATAAAGAACACCATGGTTTACCTGGGAGGGAAAATTACTGTTCCATACACAGTCAGCCTTGTCAGTCATCCTTAGCAGGATGATTAAAACATATTTTCCAGGAGGGAAAATATTGTAGAAAAGTCAGTAAATCTTTGAATAGTTTAACATCTGTAAAGCCAGGATAAGGCTACATCTTGGGCACAGAGTTCAGCTGTATATACATATGCTTGACTTCTTAGCCTCAGGAGTAAGTCTTCATAATGCTTAATAATTTTTACAAAGACAAAAGTAGGCATGAGTGTAATGGTAACTACAGTTCCAGGTGTTGGTATGTCTGCCAGTCTGTCAGTTTTTGGTGTTCTATCCATTGGTTTCACATAGGTTATGCTGAACGAGGAAGACTATCAACAGGACTGTTTCTCACTGTGAATGATTTTTTACACTTTTAAAGATAAAGCAAAAATGTAAAAATGTTCCCTATTCTTAGGCATAATAATTATCTGTTTGAAGGGCATGTCTCAAATAGTCATCTTACTAATATTCTCTCTCAAGCCTTTTTGAGTACCTTTTGTACCTTACCAAAGCTCCATCCCAAGAAGTTTTCACCATTTATCTGGTCATTCCTTGTCCAAATTGCATACCAACCAGTGAAGAGTTACCCAACTAGCTGAAAAGATGGACCATCATCGTTTGATTTCAGCCTGATGCCTAGATTTCTGTCCTGACCATTACACAAAATGACTTCAGGGATCCTTCATTTATTTCCTGCTCTACAAATTCCAGCATTATTACCTTTTTTTTTTCTTTTTTTTTCTTTTTTTTTTTTTTGGTTTTTCGAGACAGGGTTTCCCTGTGGCTTTGGAGGCTGTCCTGGAACTCGCTTGGTAGACCAGGCTGGTCTCGAACTCACAGTGATCCGCCTGCCTCTGCCTCCTGAGTGCTGGGATTAAAGGCGTGCGCCACCAACGCCCAGCTCAGCATCATTATCTTATTCAGTTGTCACTACATAGTTCACATGGAAGGTCTCGTTACCAGTTGTCTCTGAACTAGTGTTCCAGGGACCGAGGCCAGAATTACACATGTTTCTCCTTTATATGAACTTAGTCTCATGCATTTGGAAGCAGTCCAAATATGATTTAAGATAAATATTTCCATTTTGAAAGATGGGAGCAGAAGACTCTTTTGAAATGGCTAGGCTGGCAGGGCTGGTGGAGAGGCAGTTTGGGCTTGGATTACTTTGTCTGCCTACAAATATTCAGGAAAAGGGTAAAAACACATTTTCCTTTTCAGGTATCTTCTAGACTGTAAAGACCCATGCTCCCCACCACCTCCAGCCTTGAATTTCTGGTCTTCCTCTTCTGACCGCCTTGGGGCTGGATTGTAGATGAGCACTGTCACACTGGTTTTATCCAGTGCTCAGGACTGAACCCAAGCTTTTGTGTATGCTAGTCTAGCCCTCTACCAACTAAAATGTTCCCTCGGCTCCTCTTTTCAGTATCTTTTCTTTATACGCAGCTTTTTAATTATTTTAAGATTTTTATTTTCAATTTATGCATATATATGTGTCTACATATGTATGTGCATGTTTGGGGGTGCCCTGGGAACTGGAAGTAGTTGTGAGCCACCTGATATCGGTGCTGTGAACCCAACTCGGGTGCTCTGCACGAACAGCAAGTGCCCATAACTGCTCAGCCATCTCTCCAGCCCCATGAGGAGCTTTCACAAAACCTCCACAGTTAGGCTGAGCATAGGCTGAGCATGAGGGAACAAGCTTGTAACCCCACTGCTAGTGTCAGAAGCAGTAGGGTTGGGAGTTCCAGGCCAGCCTGGCACAGAAAATGAGAATGACAAAGATTAAAGTGACACAGTAGCCACATTTTGTTGTTTTTTCCTGTGGTTTTGCTTAATGTTATTACTGCTTTGGCAGATCAACACTACACTGCTGGTTTTGTTTTGTTTGAAGGCCGGGGCTGTTGTGTTGGAAATTGAAGTTGGCCTTGAACATGCTTGGCAAGTGTTTGATCCCTAAGCCATTTTCCCTGCAAACATGATGGCTTTTAATGGCTGGACTGTTGTACTCAACCTTTCAAGGTGATAAAAGGACATCTCATTTTCTTGTTCTCAGGGTTCCAATTAGCTCCTTGAGAAATGGATCCTACAGATAGAAAGGATGAATAGAGCTTAGCAAATTGGCCCACCAAAGAATCAAGAAAACTTCAATGCTGGATTTCAGTAGTAGAGAGTACGCTTAGCCTTTGTAAAGTCCTAACTTCAATCTCCCACTAAAAAGAGTGGTGGTTGAAATTGTTTTTAAATCATTTTTTTTGTAATTATAGCATGTCTGTCACACCTAGGACATCATTCACAGTAGGTGAGCCCTCACACTGAGTATACCCTATACTTCTTTTACATCTTCCTGTTCAGCAGAGATAGTAGGTGGTGAGCCACAATTGTATGCTTTCTGTCAGTTCCATGTTGGAAAATATATCTTTGAGTATATTGTGTTAATTGGGTATTATAAATTATTCCTTAATATTTGTGGCCAGATTTTGTTAAAGTATAAATAAAGTAGATCAGAAATTTAGGAGGGATATGGTAAATTAAAGCCTTACTAATGCTGCAGGTAATCTGAGATCCATCCTCTCCTGGCATATTGCACCTAGGTGTCTGTGAGTTCGAGACCAACCTGGTCTACAAAAGCTAGTTCCAGGACAGTCTCCAAAGCCACAGAGAAACTCTGTCTCAAAAACAAACAAACAAACAAAAAAAGACAGTTAGCAACTTGACTGATTCCCCATGTGGCAAGCAATAGGACTGGGATTGACTACCACCACCACCCCCCCCCCACAACCTCCACCACCCCCAGCATCTTGGTTACCTCATCTGTTACACGAGCAACACTGACTTCATTGAGCATGTGGGGATTAAAGAAAACAACACTGTTGTAGTTTAGGATGTGACCAGATTTATATCAGGAGGGCATGTGGTTCTGGAAACTCCTGGTTCTCTCTGTGCTAATCTCTGTTTTCTCCCTGGTAGATTGTCGATCCATTTCAGATACTTATGGCAGCAAACAAAGCTGTCCATCTCCACAAACTGGGAAAAATGAAGACAAGGACTCTGTCTACTGGAATCATCTTAAACCTCTCCCCAAATAACAATGTAATGTGGTGACTGACTTTATTTCTGTTGGTCTTATTGTAGAATGTGCCCCAGCTGCCCCCCACCCCCGTATGGCACTGGGGTGCAGGTTCCTCCAAGCCAGCTGTTAGTCTAAGCCAAAATAGTTATGTAGAGAGGTCTGGACAGATCCATTTAGTACTGTAAGCAGCTATGGAGTCAGTCAAAGTTTAAACTACATGAGGCTGGAATTATCTGCTCTGCCCATGTTATGTTAAGTAGACCCCTTGAGCAATTTTGCTTAAGAAACCCACATGATAAGATGTGAAGTATAGATACATTTTGTGTTACTCTCCCTGTAAACTGCTAGAGATGGGATGTGTGTCTTTTTTATAGTCAGTACCAGGAATTTTTTGTGACCTGCTCACTTCATAGGAATGCACCCCCCCCCCCGTGTGTGTGTGTTTGTGTGTGTGTGTGTGTGTGTGTGTGTACACATGTGTATTTGTGGTTGTGTGTACACAGATTCATGTGTGGGAGCATGGGACCTGAGTATCACAATGAGATTGTGAAGGTCTAGCGGATGACCTCAGGTGGTCCTTGCCTTGTACCTTGTTCCAAACAAGATCTCTTTTTTTTTTCACCACTGTGTACACCTGACCTTCAAGCTTCTTGATTCTTCTGTCTCCACCTTCTATCTTGCTGTATGGGTACTGGGGTTATAGACAATCGCTGTTGTGCCTGGCTTTACATGGGCTAGAGATTTGAACCAAGATCCTCACACTGGTGTGACAAGTGCTTTAACCACTGAGCCATCTCCCCAGCCCAAGAGTGCTTTTTAAATGGAAACTATTGAGGTGACATTCTGTGTGTGACATAAGAAAAAGATGTCTGAACTCAGCTGATGAAGTTCCAGCATTACTACTGCTGTTAATAACAATCAGGTACTAATATCAAAGGGAAAATTTGGAACCCTATGGCAAGAATTAAATCACACTTGGTTGCAAAGTTTATAAAATGCAGTCAGCATGGCAACAGAACTCCCCATTAATGGAATCATTGGAAATAATTGAAGACATCATTCCTGTGCTAGGGGCGGCAGAGAAAAGTAGGATCTTGAGAAGCAGATGATTAAGACAAAAGTTAAGCTGCCCTAAGATAAATTACAATAGGAATACAAATTACAGTCTGGAAGGTCACTTGGAGATAAAGACAGGGTGTTAATATGCAAAGCCAAGAAGTCTGGGCTTGATCCAGAGGAGCAAAGTGCAACTGTAACCAGGGACAGGGACAGTAGGTGCTGGGGATGAATTGTTGAAGGGGAAAGTACACTGTGAGAAACCGGGAGGCTGACTGAGCAGGCCAGGAGTATTCCAGACAGAAGACGCTGACTCATTTGCCTTTGGTTTTTTCAATCATATATTTCAGAGGCTTTGAAGAAATTGGTATCTCAGAAAGTGACACTTCAGTTCTCATTGTTTACATTGAAGAGGGAGAAAAACAAATACACCAAGAACACCTAATATCTCAAGTGGAAGGCCAGCAGGTGCCTTTGGAATGTCTTCCAGAAATAACAAAGCTCTCAGAAGTGAAAAAGGTTTGTAATGCATGTTTTTAAGAGTTCAATAGATGAATTATACTGATGCTGTTTGTTCATCAGTGTTACAATTTTTGAACTATTCTATTAACATTTTAGTTAGCATACAGGATAATGGTATTCATTACATTTTCACAAATCCTATTATTACTTTTACTCATATCTGCCTCATCTCACATGCTCAATACCTTTTGAACTTTTAAGAAGTAGTGTGGGACTGGAGAGTTGACTCAGCCGTTCATAGTCAGCAGTTATTCCAGAGAACCTGGGTCTGATTCCCAGCAAGTTCATAACCATCTGGAACTCCATTTCTAGAGGATCCGATGCCTGCTTCCGACCTTCATGGGAACTGCACACCCATAGTGCACATATACAGAGGCAAAACACCCTTACAAGTTGTTGGGGGAAGTCCTGTGCATTTGTCAATAAAGTACTGTTGAGCCTATAGGGAACCAAGATAGGAGGGACTAGGAGTCCAGGAGAACTCTGGGAAGGAGGAACACAAGAGAGTCAACATGTAACACCATGGGGGTAGGAAGCCTGGAACTATTCTCCGGTAAGAAACATACTTAGATTAACAATTATGGGGTAATTACTTAAGCAGAGCTAGCCAGTAAGAAATAAGCAAGGCCAACAGCTTCATAATTAATACAGCGTCTTGTGTGTTTATTTGGGACTCAAGCGGCTCTGGAACCAGGCTGGCGGAACGGCTCCTTCTCAAGGAAAAAGCTTCTCTTAACAAAATGGTGATCAGGAGTGGGATGATGAATTTCCACGTAGAATGACAAAAGCTTTAAAGGAATTTTAGGAACGGAGAGAAGCACAGATTTTGGTAGCAGCATTTTCTCAGGTGTGCTCTGTTTTGCTAGCAACAAGCCGAGATTCGCGTGGCTTACTTACCGGAGTCTTCCTGACTCGGCATAAAAAGAAAAAAGAAAAAAGAAGAAAAAAAAAAAACAAGGTTGTTTTAAGAGACTCTGTTAACGATTGAAAGGTGTGTATGTACAGCTGGAAGTGGCAGCTTTTGCTGGAGGTCAGCATGGACTGAGGCGGTAAGCTGGAATCACGCTTACGCCCACCATCTTGACAAAAAACCGGCAGTTTAAAACAGCTGCGGTTTTACAAATAAGACACGTGGCCAGAAAAACGTAAAGCTTTACAGTAAAGTCAGACTTGGATGAACAAAACCTCTAAAGGTTTACAGTGTGTTTAAAAATATACGTGAGATTGAGAGAGAAAATGAAACGACAAAGTGATATATAAATACAAAAGCCGGCGTTGTGGTGGCGCATGCCGGTAAGATTTACTCCAGAGGCAGAGGCAGGCAGATTTCCAAAGAGAAACCCTGTCTCAGAGAAAAATAAATAAAAGTAAAATAAATAAAGTAATAATACATAAATAAATAAGCCACGTAAAGATGGAAAATACACAGAGAGTCTGGATACTGTATGCTGTTATGTTTTTCAGTTTTTTGCTTGCTCAGGAAGGAACTGCTACTAAAGTACACTTGATTATAAATGCTGCTAAATTAATCCAACTTCTATCTTTTGAAAATACCTTGACTTCAAAATTTAAGTATAAGGATATGTTACTTGGAAAAGGAGATTTTGCTTATGTTTCTACAGAAAATGAAAAGCTGAGGATTTCTTCCAGGGTTCTGTGGTTTGACGAACCAAGACCCCCAGAAGCAGTGGATCAGATGTTCCAACAATTGAAACAGCTAAGATGATGCAGTTTTACAGACCCCGAAAATACGGACTTATACAGGTTTCTGAGTTTTGTCATGATCCCCATGGTATGAACAGCGCCCCCCTTCCAGCAGGAAGCAGTTTGGAATGAGCAACGTCCCAATTCCCATCTTGTTTATAAATCTTTGTTTTCATTTAAATGGAGTTGTTTATAATTGGCTAATGATCACAGCCAATCCTTTTTAATGGTAAAAAAGGGAATTATGGTATGGGTATTGTTTTTCATTTGTTGATACAAATTCAAGGTCAATTTTGTGATGTGTATGTTTCTCCTCTTGATTAAGTATTGTGCTTATACAGATCCTTTGAAACGTAAAGCATGATTGAATGCAGACTATAGATAGTTACTTATAATGGAATTTATAGTTAGGTAAGTTAGGTTTTCTAGATATACAGAGATGTATTTGAGACAGATAGATAGTCTTCAAACCTCTCAAAGACCTTCAGAAAATGGCATTTAAAATGGTTTAGGGTTTTTCTTGACAATGAGAAATGTCTGCTCCTGGCAGCACCAATTATGTCTGAGAGGAAGATGGGCATCGAAGAAACTTGTTATGGAGTTTGCTTTCAACATGGCAAGATTAGCCATTTGGCAAGAAACTGCTCTTGCCTGTACTGCTTGACTGTTGTTGTATAATCTGGACATGCAGGACCCACAGAAAAGTGACTACTGAACTCAGTCTTATAGGGTTCCTGCTTCATGAAAGAGTCTAAGAGACTTTCTACAGGGCAAAGAAAAATGACTGACAGACTGCCAGCGCAGATGGACAGTTTGAAATTTTCTGCTTTGCTGAGAAGTGTTCCAGACACATTGTGGCCTATGGGCTGAAGATGGATACCCCAACGTTACAGTGGAACTTCGGGTGACTGTCCAGGCAGTAAGATGTCTCTGTCAATCCTAGTGTTTATATATTATCCTTCTGTGGTCTTTGATGGAGTTGAAGACAGATAGTTATAATTATAGTTTTCCTTAGTTATGATAAAAGATAAGCTACATATAGGACTTTGGACTCACAAGGATGGGATGGATGATATTTTCTTTAAATCTTGCTAAAATATTGTAACTATGTTCTTACTTGATAACTGTTTTGTTATATATAATTTGACGGTGTTAAAGTTAAGACCTTTCTTTTTGTTTAAACAGAAAAGAGGAGATGTTGGGGGAAGTCCTGTGCATTTGTCAATAAAGTACTGTTGAGCCTATAGGGAACCAAGATAGGAGGGACTAGGAGTCCAGGAGAACTCTGGGAAGGAGGAACACAAGAGAGTCAACATGTAACACCATGGGGGTAGGAAGCCTGGAACTATTCTCCGGTAAGAAACATACTTAGATTAACAATTATGGGGTAATTACTTAAGCAGAGCTAGCCAGTAAGAAATAAGCAAGGCCAACAGCTTCATAATTAATACAGCGTCGTGTGTGTTTATTTGGGGACTACAAAGCGGCAGAGCCCAGGCAACTGGCGGGAGATAAACCAAAGCGGCTAGCAAAGAAAAAGCTTCTCGTAACAACAAGTAAAGAGAGGTTTAGAAATATTAAAATAATTTATAGAAACTTCATAAATGAAAAGAACTCGGACTTACCAGTTTGTGGAATGTAATTCAGAATGGTGTCACTGAGAACTGGAAGAAAAGGGATCTCTTTCAACATTCAGTGATTGTATGAAGTTAATATCTAGGTGTGGACTCTTAAAATTGATACATATGTGATTTGTGTGTTCAGGAAATTTGGTTTTTATATTAATAATTGCATGTTAATGTGTATGTAATAACAGTGTGTGGACATGCCAGCACTCATAGACTGTCATTCACTTTTACAGATATATAAACTGTCATCACAAGAAGAGAGTATTGGAACATTACTGGATGGTATCATTTGTAGGATGTCAACAAAGGATATTTTATAAGATGACCAAAAAAATCTCAGAGTTAATCACCAGCTATTTTTTCCCCTGGTTATAAAATTAACATATCACTGAAAAGGGGAAAAATAAACCACTGCTAGCCCTACCTTTTTTTTTTCACTTCTTAAAGATAGCCCCTGTCACTGTTTTTGCCATTGTCTTCTAGTCTTCTGCTTGTATTTTTTTTTTTTTTTTTTGGCTTTTCGAGACAGGGTTTCTCTGTATTATTTTGGAGGCTGTCCTGGAACTCTCTCTGTAGACTAGGTTGGCCTCGAACTCACCTCTGCCTCCCGAATGCTGGGATTAAAGGTGTGAGCCACCAACACCCGGCATCTGTTTGTATTTCGATACATTATATTTTTGTACAATTGGGAAAAAAAAGTGCAAGCACCTAGCTGGGAGGTAGTGGTGCACACCTTTAGTCCCAGCACTTGGGAGGTAGAGACAGGCAGATCTCTGTGAGTTCGAGGCCAGCCTGGTCTACAGAGAGAGTTCCAGGACAGTCTCCATAGCTACAGAGAAACCCTGTCTCGAAAAACCAAAAAAGAAAAAAAAGTGCGAGCACCTAATGGGGGCTGCAATGTTCAAGGCTCTTCCTCAGTGATCACCAGTTTGCATCTTGCCGTGTGCTGCTGCTTCTCCACATTGCCCTGCTGAACTTCTGATCCTTAGTATTTCATGTATCCGAATTTGATGGGGAATGTCCTTCTGGGTGTATGCTTCTTTTATTGGCTGATGAATAAAACACTGATTGTCCAGGCAGAAAGATAGGCATGGCTAGGAGCCGAGGAGAATTCTGAGAGAGGAGGTGGAGAGAAGCTGCCAAAGGAGTTAGAGGTCAGGACCCTTCTCTGGTAAGATAATACCACATGGACATACTTAGATTAATAGAAATGGGTTAATAATTGAGACAGAGCTAGCCAATAAGAAGCCCAAGCCACCAGGCAACATTTTATAATTAATATAGCATCCATGTGTTTATTTGGGGCGAAACGGCTGTGGGAAGGTCCGCAACCAGAATTTCTTTAATTCTAAACCTGGTATGATGACTCACTCCTACAGCCCAGGCACTCAGGAGGCTAAGGCACGAGAAAGCCACACGTTTGATGTCAGCCTGAGATGTGCCACAGGTTCTAGATCAGTCTAAAGTACCATGTCAAATCCTATCTCAGTAAAGGAACAATAAGTCATTTACTTCTCATAGCCACCTTATTAGGTGGATATGTCTTTGTGCCCACTTCACACACAGGGCAGCTGAAAGAGTGCAGCAGTATTAACTATCCCAGGGTCATGTAACTAGTATAAAACCTTATTTGATAGTTTCATTTTTCTCTTTTTTTTTTGTTTT